ATTGTGTGGTGGCAGGAGTGACCCCCACAAAAGCCTCTTGCCTAAATCCTTCCGGTACATTTGCCGGTGATGCTTCTTAACTCGACTGGTGCCAAAAAGAAGCGCGTAGCATTTGTTTACTGGGTCGTACTCCGTAATAGAGAAAAACCTTATTTACGAAACATTAATGACAGGCTTAAGATCAGATGCGGCCTCATAAAATTAGTTTTGTTCTAAATTTTAATGGAAAACTTGCAGAAGCTACAAGAACAAACCAATAATGATATCTGATTGGGTGTTTTTACGGTGCAAGACACCGTCGTGCCTTCCTTACGTGTTCGTTCTGGCTGCTTTTTATCTAAATCTTGCGTAATAGCTAACCCAGCTGATCCAGGTCACTTACAAGTCAAACTCAGAAATGCTTGGAAGAGTTGTAGTAGCCGGGTTTCATCACGCCTGCGTCATCAAATGTAGTGGCTAGGGTTTCAGCACTACCTTACAACCCTCTAGTTAACAGTCCGTAACTACCCGAGAAGAGGGGGGAGAGGAGGCGGCAGTGAACACGACTGATTTATTTGTGTCAAAACAGCCAAGTGGCTTTGTGCGCGTAGGAGTACGCGTGCGTAACAGGCAAATGCTGACTGGGGCCAATAACAGAAGGGGTGTGTCATTGATCCACCCGGGCCCTCATGCACGCACACTCACCCGAGGTGGCTGTCAGTCCACTACAGATCAATAACTACATTGGGTATGCACCACTGAGTGCCCATGCGCTCCCACAACACAACTAGGTTGAACTGTCTTGTAGACGGTTGTGTCTCTACCATCCCTTGTCTTCTTCTACTTGTCTTCTCGGGTATTTGAGTAGTGTAAACAGGTCACATTCAAAACAGCTCACGTCTGACGGTTCCTTGTGTGGCTGCCAGAAGTGGGGTCACGCGATTATCCGTAGAAATAGTGACAATTTGGACTAATCAAGACATGTACCCTTAACATTTGCCCAGTGTTCGAAAGCGTTAAACATGACTCAACCTGCTACGGCATACATTTATGCTGCTGCTACGTCTTACCAAGTAAATCCACGAGCGCGAATAGTTGGTACGTCAACGGTTTTTCTAGAGTAAGAGAAGACTAGTGCCTATGTGGAAGGCAACACTGTCCGAACCAGAGGCTCGAGTACAAGACGGGGTTAGAGGTGATAGTCAGGTAGATGCTAAGACGTGTCCACCTGTATATGCCTGTGTGATCTGAGATCGATGAACTGAGTAACCAACACTGAGCTATGAGTTGCTGGTGTGACCTGACGGCTGAATTATAATCACTTGACAACAGAGCTGAGTGAATTGACGTCTCAAACCTCGGTGTTTATAAAGTTATCGTGGGGCCCGCTGACACCCCCAACACAAACGACTACAAATTTGGGCGACTAAACTGTTAACTGTCGTGGAAACCAGAACGTCTTTACGTCTATTAAATTTCTAATTCTAGTTTGGCATCAACCAAACCGACTTCACATTTTAGGCCTTCTCTTTCAGCTAAACAGGGGTTCCACCGGCGGCATTGAAGTCCCGTTAAACCTTATTGATGTAACACTCGGATAAAAAAACATGAATCTCAAATAGGAGAGAAATCGCAATTAACTTCTGACACCATCAAAAACACCACTTTTGGACACAACAGCCATGTTAATCGGCTTTCAATTTTGACATAAATTTAGAGGATTTTTACACTTGCAGTTGAACAGATCTAGATGAAACAAGGGGAACCGAAGTGTCAAAGCCCAAATTTTTCCCAGCAAGACAACCACGGCCAGGTTAACATGAATTATGGATAAAACCGTAAGTCTTGACCACCAAACCGAAGACCACGCACAACTTGGGAACTGGCTCAACCACCCGCTGATGTACGCGTGGAGAATCGTGTTGGTTCACGTCCAATAAAACGGTCGTCACAGCCTCACACATACGTCCCCCTTTTCACGGCGTGTCCGTCGGTCTCTGGTACAGCCGGGACTCACTCACTCCTCTGTATGTACCACCACCACCACCCTCTCCAACCTTGTGACCATTCGGACGGCTGTATTTCCACTAGTCCACTCAACTTTATCCGTCAGCACGACACAAGTAGGTTGAGCTGTCTGGTAAACTGTTGTGCCTCGTCCTCTCCGGTCTTCATCTTCTTCCTCGCTATTACGCAGGGTGGCGTAGGTCTGGCCAGATCAACCAACATGCCGGGGCCCTCAACACACGTCTCACTTTCCTGATGCCATTTGCTGTGTCAGTAAGCACGCAGCACAACTTACAAATCGTCCAATTATGTGCGCATTGGGTGACCTTGGTGGCAATTAAAACAAACTAAACATTCCATCGATTGAGCGCGCGACCGGTAGGAAAATATGGAAGGGTGCACAAAAAGGAAAAGTGGAAGGGAAAATCAATAAAAAGGTGTTCCAGAGGGGTAAAACACGTTTGTGATCTGGTCGATTGTAACTTGGCATCTCGGCGCACTGTGGTGTCTATTTAATGCGGTGCTTCCTCCGCTTCCGCCTCACGCACAAATCACCACACAGAATCCCTCCTGACTGCACTTATTTGAGGTCATAGAACTAGCTTTCGATAAGGTATTAATGCAAAACACTTTAAGTTTGGCCATGGTGCACGTCAGCATTCAAGTTCGGGGTTGACTTTGACGCTATTTCACTATACCACATCTCTGGAGCATACTTCGTGTTCAAATTATGTGCTCGAGTAGTCGACCGCACTGTGTTCATCCTACCGGGTGCGCCTTTCTATAACAGTCGAAAATTGTGATCTCCGTTTGACCAACTTACTGTTGCATTTGGTCTCTTTTTTGTGAAAAGAAAAGTTTTTGCACGTTACATTGGGACACGTGCTTTAATTTACCATCAGCGCGTGTGCTTTCGGTACTGTTTACGTCCCTCTCTCTGACCTCTAATTAATATTTAAAATTCCTTATGCCAAATAAGAACAAAGGTGGGATTGACGTCTGAGTGGAACTCCAGCAAAAAACTTTTGCATAAAAACCTGGATTCCTATGATAGAGGCATTATGTGAACAGAAAAAGGTTGTAATCAACTACAGGACACGTTTTACAGTCTACTGAATTAGACTACTCACTGTTGAGAGAGTGCTTCGCTTACACGGTCAATAAGATGATATTAATTGAGCTAGATGCAAGTTTTAGCTGTAAAAAGGCGTGAAAAATTAGGAGTTGAATTCAATCTGTGTGAAACAGTGCATCAGGATGAAAATAATTGGCGTTACGGCATGCAGATGCTACCGATCATCAGGGTTTGCTGCTTTACGGCACTGTAAATACGTTTGTCTAAATATGCCTAATCGACACGCTCATTTCTCCCTGCAAAGTGTGACAAAGCGACGCACACGAATATCGTGACAGTGGTTTAGCCTCTTTAGATTCGACTTCCAAGAATCAACATTTCAGTGATGAGGGTAAATATATCTCCAACATTCCCCCTAAGCCAATGATATATTTCTAAGAAGCAGTATTCAGAAGCCGATTTTAGCTGTATCTTATGCAAGGAAATGACACGGTACTGCACTGTGACGAACTTATCTTGTCGGTAACGGATTTTCTTCAGCACTCCCTTACCCAAATATTAATAGCTACTTAAACTATTTAAGTACAAAATATGTTGCATGTATCAAAACTTATGCGGTCCGGTCTACAGATACGGAAAAGCGAAAACAAATCACTCCTCTATACCTGCTTAAAGAACTGAATTCAGTGGGCAAATCACTATTCAGGGGCCTCAGATTGAGCTATGGATCCAACCAACACTTCAAGGATTGGTCATAATAAACATTAACGCAGATCAATTTGGATAAAATTTCAAGTTTTCACATTCCTTTCGTGTGGATTCAATATTCTAATTTAAATAAATGCGTAATTTAGATTAAAAGAAGATAATTGGGATGATAACTTTAAAGGGATAAAATACGTGCTTTTTGAGAATCGATTATTGATTTTTCGAAGTTTGTTTAGTCAAGAATGCGATTGGACCTGTGCAAGTCAAACCTCGGCGGAATACGAATACCTACTTTAATTTCTGTTCCAATAAGACAGCAGCAAAGGCTGGCAAGTTTTAGCGAGGGTCTGTGCTACTGATGGTTATTCAGTAGCATTTCAAAAACACAGAGCTTTGAGTTGGAATCTGCAAACTCACCTCCCCCCCTCCACTCGACCCCCTTTAAGGTCTCCTCGCTAACTCAAATAAATACTGTTCCGGTGAGAGGGGGAGCACATCTGCACTCCACGGGTGGCCACTGGTCGCGCCTGCTGTTACCTCTGCCCCCAGGCCAATCGGAGTGAACAATTTAGAAGGCTACTCCGAACCCGTTGAAGGCGCCACTGCATTGTGTAGTCGAGCCTCATCGCAACATTTTCGCTAACTTTTCTTGAAGGAAGTTGTTTAATTCCCATTGGCTAAGAAATTCGCCAGCCTAACTTGAATTTATTATTTCAACATACATTTAAACACACAGTTGGGGAACGATTTAACTTGGCGTCCGTCGACATCGACACTTTAAGACGAAGTCCCTACTCATTAAATGAAATACATAAGTAGTAGTAGTAGTAGAAAAAATTCAGCAAATTTAAATGGAGGCACACAAATATCCCAGTTGGACAATCCCACTTAATTGGCCTTTTTCAATCGTCGTGTATAAACTGGGGATTTATGTTTATTCCCAGGCAGGTTGGCTAGCAAGCAATTCGTCTTAAAAGTGAATTTTTAGACCCATCTCAAAGCTGGATGGAATTTGCAATGACCTGGGTTAGATTCCATGCAGTGACGAAAACTCCGACACCTCTCTAGGCCCCTCAATGGGCTCCTGTGTCTGACTTAAGTAGTATCGCTGTTTTATTCTCAAAAAGAACTTCTTCTGCTTCCATTGGATTTAGAAATCTATCGATTTAACTAATTACTTAATTACCTCACTGGTCGAATTTGGCTGAATGGTTGTCAAATGAGCAGGTGGTTACAGTGTCGCGTCGATTGGTGAGGCAGTCGGTGTTACCAGAGTAAACATTGGGCGTGACCGCCTGGCATTACGCTCGACGGTGCTTATGATAACACCGTCGAATGCGGTGGCGGTGGCGACGGCGGCAGGTGTCGGCGAAAGGCCTAGTGATCATAGGCCGATACACAGGCAGACACCCCCCAACACACACACACACACACACTTTGCCCCCCTGGAACCCCCTTCAGTGGTCCACGCCGTGAGGTGTGCGGGGTTCCACAATCTGGCTTGCTTTGACAACCCAGTAACTGGGCTGGAGGAAGGAACAGCCACACAGGGGTCTTGCTGGAGGCACCTGGCAGGGTTAACGCCCAATTCGATACTGTCTTGGCTACCGAAGTCGCCCAATTTGACCCCAACCAACTCATTGGACAAACTAATGCCGTCTTGCTAAAGAGTGGTTGGCAGGTTCGTGGGTCTCAAGCATTAACACTCCTTCCTTCTTTCATATTGCATTAACAAGTAAATCTGTCCCTGCCACTGATTCGCTTGATTTTCTTCATCGGGGCACCTCTTTAGATTCACTTCGGCTGAACCTGACGGTATTCTGAACAGCCGACCAGCTAATTTGGCTAGTTTCATTAGCCTAAGGATGAATTTAAACTGACAGAAGGAGGGAATCATTAAATACTGGCAATTTTCTGGTCGTGAGACGAATTCATTAAGTGTAGGAAGGAAAATTGCATGAGACAGGGGTAAAGAGGGAGATCAGGTCTCTGGAAATGATGACTTGCCGGACGAACGGGCTGTTGAGGTGGTATTCGGCGCGGTTGGTGCAAAACCACAGACCTGGAGAAACTACTGCTCGAGAAGTCTGTGACTGTAAGGAAAGCCAGCGGAATCCACCAACTCCTGATGCTACGCATGCTTGCCTTGAAAATTGGATCACTGAACAAGGCGACTGTACATCAACCATTACCACTCGGCAACACGATCACATCACCTCGCGCACAAGGCATGCAAACGTCAAATCCGCTGATCACGTTCCACGTCAGACCGATTCGGTGGTCAACAACAGCAAGTCAAAATGTCAGTCAGCAGTTGTTTTACCTCAGTGGCAGAGTGGAGGGCACACACACCGCCCCAGGGGATCTGGGCAAATAAATAAACACATCTTTGCGGTATGGAGGGGTGGCCCAATGCGTACTCGCTCTCCGACCGAGCAGCCAGGCACCTGACCTGTAAGACTTACCGTTTACATGAGAGTAGCTAGTTCGAACCCCTGCAAAAGGCGTACAAGAGCATGGCTAGAGCTTGTGTGAGATCTTCTCTGTCTGAAACCGTAGGCTATGGTACATCATGGGACTCAGATACGCCCACTTCAATTTGATTGGGTGATCTGACATCGGGTGATGCGTTGGTAATGTGAACACCAATGTAAAGTGTCTGTAGAATTGTGATCCTGATTCGCTTTAATTTCTTCGTCAAAGTCCCACTTTAGATTCATTTGAGATAAACCTGAAGGTATTCTGGGCGAATTACCTGGTAATTTGGCTGGTTTCACTAGCGTGGAGGCGAGTTTGCGCCGTCAGAAAATGTGGTATCATGAATTCGCAGCAAGTTCTACGTCGTTATGCAAATCCACCAAATGTAAGAAGGAAAATAGACCAAAACAATTAAACATAAGCACAGGTATTGAGGGGAACAACGAGTAGTTAATTTGTAACCAAGGGCCTGGAAAACAAAATTTTTTTCGAGATACCTAAGTTTGTAAAATTTACGCTTGCGAGGGAAACCATTCCAAGTTAATGGGGACCCACCGACTTCTGAGGGCCTAAATGCATTGATTTTTCAGCAAATATATATTTAATGTTAAAAGAAGTGGATGACAACGAATTTAATCTTGGAAATATTACCCATAGTTTTCCATGAACTTGCGCCACCTCTCAGGCAACGAACGAATGCCAGCTGCAGTGTTCAGCAGTAACCGTCTGAATACCACATTCTCGAAGTTCGTAGTAAAGTACACCCTTCTTGTCCCACCCCTAGATACACAAGGGAACATTCTTCAAGTAGATCTCGTTGCCGATGCAGTGGGTTAGCCGCGACCCGACCAAGATATTTTGCGTCTTGAATTCCCACAAATAATCTACTCTTCATCATTCGTCACAATGTTCCACAAGGAATACTTTGTTGATGCCGACGGGCAGGCATTGAAAGGCATGTGCTCATACTTTGACGATCAACACATGTGGAGGGACCCAACTTCCAAGTTTTTGAATTTTTCCCATTTAGTGGTGCAAACGCTTGGAAATAGCTGCTTAGCTGACTCCTAACTGATCTGCAAGCACCTGTTGCGTTTGGGTTGAGCCTTCATCCGGTAGAACTTGCAATTGCACATCGTCAAACGCTTGAGGCTGATGTGTGGTTGGGTGCCTGGTCACTAAGATCGAAACCACCACTTCTAAAACGCCTTCATAAGACACATTGTTGGCACCAAGATCACTGTACATTGATTGCTCTGTGCTTTAGAAGCACTGTATCCTTTGTGGAAGTCGCATAAAATGCAGTCCCATCGAATGTGCTGTCCATCAGTAGCCATCGTACACTCTGAGAGGTTGCGCAGCTCACGTAGACTTTTTGTTCGACGATCTGAACCTTTACGTTCGATTTTATCAAGATATTTCCGGTTTTGCGTGAAGACTAAATCTGTACAGAGTAAATCATCTGCCTAATAGTTGGCTCGTTGAAGTGAGTGAATGTGCATCAAACAATTCCATAGAGGTTACGAACCACTCACTCGGCAACACGATCACATCACCTCGCGCACAAGGCATGCAAACGTCAAATCCGCTGATCACGTTCCACGTCAGACCGATTCGGTGGTCAACAACAGCATGTCAAAATGTCATTCAACACTTGTTTCACCTCAGTGGCAGAGCGGAGGGCACGCAGTCGCCCCAGGGGATCTGGGCAAATAAATAAACACATCTTTGCGGTATGGAGGGGTGGCCCAATGCGTACTCGCTCTCCAGTGGAGTAGTCAGGCTTGGTCTTTGGCCAAAACGACGCCTGTCTGTCCACCAAGCACCTGACCTGTAAAACATACCGTTTACTTGAGCGTACCTAGTTCGAACTCCTGCAAAAGGCGTACCAGAGCATGGCAAGAGCTTGTGCAGGGAGCTTTTCTGTCTGAAACCGTGGGCTGAGGTACAGGATGGGGCTCAGATACGCCCACTTTAATATGGCTGGGTGATCTGACATCGATTATTTGAGTGAGCAACACTAGGTGATGTGTTGATGATATGAACACCAACGTAGAGTGACTGGAGAACTATGAGGGCACTAACAGAGCTGAGTAATTTGAAGTCATTATTATCTCAGAGTTAATTAAGATGTCTTGGTTAATGTTGACATTCTTAGCAAAAACAGACGCACAACGTCTTTGTGAACGGTCAAATTGACAGCAACAGAATTAGATCAACAACCTCCTGTACTGCAGACGTCTGCTGTTCACAGGATTCGACAGATTCCTTGCTCGTGGTTTGGGCCGGTGCCTAACTGGTGTCGCACCAACCACCTAGGGCCTGTGCTGGTGTGAAATCGTGTGGACGTGAGCACACCACTCATTCCAATAAGACTGCTCTTGTCATCACACTGGAGATCTTAAAATCATCGAGTTGCTTGCATTTATGTGTCCGGGGTTGAGTTGGAATTTTGCATGACGAAATGATTTTTCCTTGTCTAAAAGAAGATAACGAAGACTGGGACCAAATTTGTGTGGTTAATAGATTAAGTGTCATTTACTGATTACGTATAGTGCTCGTTTGAATCGGAATAGTGTCCTGAGAAATCAATCACTACTTGATTAAAAACCACTTTTTATAACATGTACAAATTCAGCACTGTCGAGGCAGTAATTGCACAATCTACAAACTGATGACCCGCTATACTTAATGGCCATGGAAACAATGCACTCCATGGGTGATTGAACGTGGTTGCCGAATTAGAAATCCCTCGTCTGCGTAGTGAACACCCCTGCAAAGAGATCCTCGAACTTATGCGCAAATGTCAGCCTTCTGTAGTTTTCATCTCTTAGTAAAACTACCAATCAAAGGCCGACCCCTGATTAAATCTTATCGATTTCTTGCGTCAAATCAAATGGGCTGGGGGTATTTCCTCTGACTGGATAGCTACCGTGGGATAAATTTGACATTTTTCCCGTGATCATTTCCTTCGCATCGCTTCCTTAGAGACTTCTTACTGCAGACAGTATTGGAAATTGGTGTCTGTGAAATTTATATAAATTATGACGAGTTTCGTTCGTTTCCATCGACAAGAACAGATAAATGTCGAAATCGGCATCGTAAAACACACACCAAACTTGGCTTAGTCAACCATAGGGCCTGGCTACAAATCTCGCTACAACGTACATAAATAGTGCTTTTAGGAAGTGCCAATTTCTCACATTTAATTGGCTACTAGAAAACCGTCTCTTAATTAAAGTTCCCGGGTTGAATGAATTCTCTGATGGTACGCTGAATGTTTTGAAATGTTTAAGGCTGTTCTGTGATTTCAGATGTTCCTTCAGTGTCAATGTGGTGATTAGGCAAATTTATGAGGCATTGCGTGAGAGCAATCAGAATAGCTAAGCATGATTTAATCAATCGATCGCCACCAACATATCTGTGAGTTTGCGTGCGTCCTAATTAAAAAAAAAACTAACCAATCCAATTAGTAGTCTGTACTTAAAGGTTGGCAGATCTAGGCATTGCGACCGACCCTTGTTGGATGAATTTAAAGCAAAACGACAACAAGATGCGACACCTGAGTTTCCCCAATTGATTCACACATGACTGAGGTTTTAATTACTTGTGAGGTACAGCCATCGGTGAGAAAAGCGGCACTATTTCGCACGGAAAAAAATCGCTGTGGACTTTATGAGACGATTGACACGGAAAACGCCGGGAAATGAGTCAGCTGGAACACTAGGCGTCCACTGGACCTGAAAACACGCGACCGCTGAAAACGAACATCTTAATGAGAATGAGAATCGGATTAGTTGAAAGGCCCTTCGATGCCAAACATCCAACTCATCAGATAGTTCAATATTTCAGTCTACTTTTCAGTAAATCTAAAGTTACTTGTGATTCTGCTGTAAAACTAGCTGCTTATCCCACACACTGCTGCGACTCATGGTCTTGACGTAGGATCTGTCTTTGCAAATGTACAAGACATATCGGAATAATCCGCAAACCACCCCTTTTCGAGGTATTAAGCGGCCTTGTCACCGGGTCACTCGTGTTCGCTTCGGTTCCCACGGTTATCCACTTTTCCTCATCGTCCTCCACACCCACTCCGCCTCCCCCCAACCTATCTAGGGTTGGCGCCGGATCATGAAAATATGATAATCACCGGTTCGAGCCACCGAGCTCTGAATAAGGTAAGATCCACTGACTACGTTACAATACGCCTCCAGCGATGAGAAATTTGCTAATTTGAAATGACTATTTGCTGTACGCCTGCTTATTGCTACCGTTTGCTGCGTGTAGGCAATGCGCAGACCAGTGGGTTGAGTTGATTGGTTTTCGCGGGGAATTGAGAGACATTTTTAAATGCCAGATAGGAAGTTGGGACAAATTACTGTCCAAAATACTAACACCTTTCGCCTCACTGACTCCAAGTAATCTCAGTCTACGCGCCTGAGCTAAGAAGTGAGGATTTCTTAATCTTATTATACGTAGCCGCGATCGTATTTGGATAATGGAGCTTGTCAACGAAACTTAAATTGTCAGCTGCTCCACCAAAGCTTCTGACGGCTGCAAAATACCACTTTATCGTGTAGGAAAACCGCCATTCCAGCCGATTTCCAAGCAATGAAGTATCTTCAAAGTAGGTAGATGGTTTCTTCTGTGAAAAACCGCATTTTTATTGACAATTTCGCGAATCAAACAGTAAGAAACTCTGTCGTTTTCCGTTCTAAAGACACGGTTGCCCCATATCGGTTGATCCAGCCAATATAGAGCCACAGAATTTGTAAATTTGATGCCAAACGCCATTCACATGCGTAACAGCCAATCAAATGCCCCGAAGCTGTAGTTACTTATACCAGTCCAGTTTAGGCCGCGGGTATTATTTCTTTTCGGGAACCTACCAAAGCCATTTTCAGCGCCTCACTTGGGTCATAAAGCTGTCACCTGAATAAGACGTCATCGCCGTGTAATCACCAAGTCGCGTGCGTGGCGGCAGCGCATTGCACCGTGATTGGTCGACGCATGGGTGCGCAGGTGCCTCTCGGGCGCGTATTAAGCGTGCCAATCACGCGTGTGGGTGAACCAGCCAAGGGGTGGGCACATTTCACGCATTATTAGGTTTAATGACGCAGAAACAGGAGCCGGTGCCAATGCGACCCTACTGTGGCTCCCACCCACGTCAGTGCATCGACCAAAACCCACTACGGGGCAGAATGCGGATCAGAAATGGAACAGACGACTCGAGCCGATTGCGAAAGGTGAGCTCACCTTGTTTTAGTGGTCACCTCACGTCTCCGCCAACCGACTTGCTTCAGCCTTAAGATGTACTAGGCCACATAGTACTTGCTATTTGGTTTTAAGCAAGCGGAACCCACAACGGGGATGTTGCAGTTACCATTTACTGCGCATTGCTGATTACCGTCATAAACCGAAACAACACTGAGCATTTTGGCGTCTTTGTTTCACAGATCACAAAACCACTGATGGAGAAGAAAAGGCGAGAACGAATAAACATGGCGTTGGAGGCTCTGAAGCGATTCGTCGCTGAGCCAATTCTAAAAGAGGTGAGTCGATCCGATGTTGGCAACATTCAAGTTGATCAGTTGGCCATCGATTATCAGGGCCTCTAAGCACTATAGCCCCGGAAAAGATTCCCCTTTTCCACGGTTTGGGTTAGCACACCCACTAGATGACAACTTTTGTGCAATGCGACGCCTCGGTTAGTGCGTATCGACAACGGTTTTGCTGCATTTTAGGGGGCGCAGAAACTGGAAAAAGCTGATATTCTCGACCTCACAGTCAAATACGTGTATTCCTGCGCGAGACGTAAGTCCAGAAGTGGATTTTATGTGGGTATGTGCGTATCCGAAACCCCATTGGCTCCACAAGCTCCTCGCGAGCTAGTGATTGGCTAGCAATCAGGAGTGGTGAGACTGCTTGTGCCGTTTGGTCATTATCGAGCCCCAGCACGCAGACATCTGTTCGAACCCAAGCTCTTGCAATCACGTGACAGAATCACCTATTCGTGGAGGGCTTTCATTATGGCATCCACTTAATCAGAACATCCTGCTGGTCTCATCCGAAACGTCGGTTGAATCCATCTGTTTATTGATGAGAGCTTCTACAAGGATCGGACTTTCTTAATCTGTCTGTTGTTGACTATTCGTCTCTTGCAATCTGAGCGTGACCGCGAATCCCCAGCCAAGACAGTCGGTCAAATTAGCACATTAATTTCTTCGGTGGCAATTGTCGCCAGTCTAGTAATCAGTAATTTGATCATTCAACTAAGGATACCCTTGCGTAGACCGCTCGGTCACTTTTAAAGCAGAATTGTACAGGTTCTTTTGAACCGTTGCAGGCAATTCGACTGCAGCGGCGACGTGGCCGAGCCAAGCACCGTGGCTCAGCTTCCTGGCCGGCTACGCGGCCTGCGAGGCCAACCTGCACAGCCTCCTGGTGGCCGCGGCCGGCGCGTCGCGGCCACAAGCCGGCCTCTCGCCTCGCGAGATGTCCCTCCTCGTGGCGCTGGACGGCCGCAAGAACGCCGCCGCCACGAGCTTCCTTGCGGCCTTGGCAGCGCCGTCCACGTCGCAGACCACTCCGCCCGCGGCGCATCTCCAGTCCGAAGGCGAACCAACGCACCCACCCCAGCCTCCGCGTGTTTGGCGACCGTGGTAACTTGAGTGTTTGCGTGTGTACATCGATAGAAATAAATCCCATTCAATTTTGCATGTCATTTGTGCTGTGTTGCACCGATTGCCACCTGCTGATTCACGTCTGTTAATCTAGTCGCTGCAGTCTACGACAAACACGCTTCAGCGCATATACCACGTTCGGCATCCTTTGAACACTTCTGACCATTCAGGTATTGGTAGCTTAACTAGTTCGCCCACACTAGGGATCAATAACTACATCTAGTACGCAATTCTACGAGTACACGATCTCAGATAAGACAAATAGGTTGAGGTGTCTAGTTAACGGTTGTCCAGCATGAACGGACTAGTTCAGCTTAGCGGCCCCGGCTTTGTACAAGACCACATGCCGAGACCCACAACACGACCTAAGTTACCCGCTTAAGAGTAAACGTGTGTCTGCGGTGACGTCCCCATCTAGGTAAACCACTGATCCTACGGAGTTAACAGCTTTCAAAGAGGACACAGGGACTTGTATTGAAGCCTTCCACCACAAGAACGACCACACACCACCCAGAGTGGTGCACTACTAGCCCTCGTTTCATATTTACAGTTTCACTTCATCTTAGACTTGTTTGCAGTTAATTCAACGACATAAGGTTGGGTCAAACATTGTGTACTTCGGGCTAAAAAACCAAAGAATTTATGTACAGAGGATTTGGTTGTTGAGGGTCAAAACGAGACGGGTGATGGGTGAGGCACATTGTCCCCCCCCCCCGGTCCCTTAAAACTAGGTAAAAATATCCACCTGGCGAGCCGAGAGGAGGTCATCGAAACCCCCAAAGTGGGTCCTGTCAATCTCCCCCCCCCACGCCCACCAACCATCAGACGAACAAGACTGTTGTTGATTGGTTTCACAGTCAACTTTTGGAAGCAGGCACCAAACAAGCAGTTTAAATTCACATTCAATGAACATACACTCAATGGAAGCGCATACAGGTATAAAGGTATAATGTGTGAATACAATGGACGTCTGAATTCTGGTTGTGTACACGGCAGAACGTTTGCGGTAAAATGCCCGGTCAATGGTTGGGAACTGAGGCCACGGAGGCAGTCCCTACCTTTTCTCCGGACAGTTCGGACAGCCGTTTCTCGAGAAATGCGGACACGTCTTGAGCACAGCCGTGGAGCCGGCTGCCCGGACGATTGCACGCCATCCAGTGCATGGTGAGAAGCCTGCGAAAGACGGACGTTAAAAGCGACATCAACAGAGGAGGGTGAACATTTGACAGCTCGCCTTGTGGACACTAATTCGACACTCTGGTGGTAAGATAGACCAAGTCAAAACCGACTATCACCTCAGTGGATAAAAGGAAAGATCAGCCAGGGCGGGAAAAGATAGCAGCAACACTGAACACGAAAGCTGTCAGGGGCGGAGTTAGCGTAAATCAAGCGAAGGACTCAAACAAGACACTCACCGCAATTGGGGGACAATTTCTCTAGGACCGCCGGGTAAGGCCCCTTGAGTGAGCAGATCCTTCAGGCTTTCCAGATCGTAGGCGTAGAGACTGGTAGAGGGTTTGTTCACTTCCACGGAGCGTCGTGTTCGATGGGCGTGTTGGTGGTGCTCTGAGGGTTTGTTTGGCGCCTCCGCTTGGACGGTCTTGCTGAGCGCGCATCGGAGCAGGGGTCGGGCGACGGACAACGCGGAGATCTCCGCCAGAAGGCGCTCTGCAGCCTGCTGCGACTGGATCGGTCCAGGTCCGGAGGCTGCGACTGGGGTGTCCACGAGGTGGTGCGCCGCATCCACCGTCTCGTCTGCGGGGAGCGTGCGCGTCGCTTGAGGTTGGATGTCCGGCCTGAGTGGACGGCTGCGTCGCGGGGGCTGACTATACCTCCCGATCAGCGCGGTTGAAGGCTCCTTCCCACCTGCCAAACAATTGCAACACTAACGGAACCTTGTCACAGATAACACGAATGAGAGAATTTTGTGATGACAACGATACCAATAAACACCAAATCCCTGCGTACGGACATGATTATGTTTTCAAAATGTCTCCTGATTGCAATATTAACACGAGAGCACTAAAGAAATCTAGGTGCCTATTTTACCTACGGCAGTCCGCGTTTATCATTATTCACTGCCCTCTACACAAAATATTTGAGGAAACATATTAACTGATCGCATTGAATAAAGTAGCAAATCACAGGAGAGGACATATGAAGCGTCAAAACGTACCCCCGTAACTTCCGTTTGGACGTCCACGAGTCTTCGCTTTCGTCTTGAGGTCTACAAACGCCTCAACTTCGTCTTCGTACAAGACGTCATCGGTTGAGATGACGGAGAGCTGTTCGAGGGATGCTGGAGCAGGTGGTTTCCAAGTGCCGTCGTCGTCGCCCTCTTCACCAACAGCCGGAGACGCTACCATCGAGGGAGACGTGTCGGCCTCGTAGTCGTCGAGGTATCGGGGACGTTTGGGTGGGCGACTGCGACGAGGGGGCGATGAGGAGGGCGTGGTGAGATAGGGGGAGGAACGTCGAGGACGTCCATGGCGACGGCGTCTCCCCACGGGATGGAACTGGGTGTCGCTGTTGGCATCGCTCTCCTGTTCACCGTTCAGGGTAGACGCCTCATCGAACGGCGGGCGCTGACCGTCGAGTAAGGGCGTCAGATTTGTCTGAAGGAATAATTTTAGACACTACGATAGGTCCTGGTTAGAGTGCTTGGGGTACAATGCAAGGCAAAGGCTCACATTCTTGCTGCTAACAGACATCTCTTCATCAAGCTCTTCCCTCAGGCTTTCCTCCATCTGCTCTACAAGTTCCGCCTTCATTTCCACGGCTTCGAGAAGTTCGTTCGGCAGGGGATCTGCGAACTTCTCCTTGACGTCACACCCAGACAGGCGTCTACAGCGATCGCAGAGCAGAGTGGCGCTCCTGAGCGCATCCTGGCGAGCGGACGCCGTGGTGGTGATTTGACAGGGCAGGAGGGAGTAGACGGCAAATGTTTGAGCAAGCGAGGAAAACTCCTGGGGTGTGCGGAGGCGGTTTCGCAGGGAGCGTGAGGTGGATTGACGCGAGAGCGAGTTGAGCAGACAGTCCACGTGGAAAGGACAGGCGCAACCACCGCAAAGAGAAAACGGAGTCAGTGGGGGCGAGGGGTGGGTGGTGTTCGGGGCGGCTGTGTCCGGTGAACCGCTAAAACACAACGAAGGTTGCGTTACTACATTGGCATAAAACGCCAAACGACTCCTGAAATCCGACCAAGAAGAAAGAGCGATCGGAGGCTTACCGACACGCGGTGCATCGGGTTTCTGGCAGTCGAAACCGGGTGGCGTAGCTGCCGATGGCCGCGGGAACTCCTCGCCCGCCCCGATTGGCCCTCCGCGCTGCCCGCTCCAGCGCTCGGACGAGGAGGTGCAGCTGGGAGGTGGTGGTTGCGGATTGGACGCAGGCGCACCACCGCTGGAAGCCCGTGGTTGTCGCGGCGAAGCCGTTTTCGAGGGACTTGAGGTCGGCGTTAGAAGACGAAAGGCGGGAGCACGGGGAGGGTGGATTGTTGGAGTCGTCCAGGGAGTCCAGACACGACAGCGAGGCGGTTGAAGGAAGAGACCCACGGAGGGAGCGATCATCAGCACCTGCGCAAATGAAAGCAACATACAGACACCGCAAGACCAGTGTGTCAGACGACGCGTGAACAGAAAGCGGACATACTCAACGGGGCGGCGAGGCGTCTCGGACCGATGGCGTTGCCGATAGAGAGGATCATTTGCACCAACTCCTGAAACTTCGACGACTGTTTTGCCTCCTCGCAGCTAAAACGCAACAATTTGTACCAATTGTGTCAGTGCGAAGCAAGGTACGCAGCATAAACGATTAGTTAGCATGTTTCCTTTGAAGTCAATTCTACAACACCTTCTCCGGAAGCCTCATTGCATCATCAGTACGAGGGAATTTACTAGACAACAAGATCACCGTTAATGAATATCATTACATATATTTACTACGCATGAGCACAAGAAGATAGCTGTAAAAGCAGAATTTAAAGGCAAATCCATCGAAATGTACTACTTCTGAAGACACTGCTTTCACGACGAGGGACACATGGAGAGGAAATCGGAATTTTGTGTTGTCCTAGAGCGAAAATCATCGTCACAATGCCTGTACAAATAACCAGAGCCGTGGAGAACGCTTGGGCAAAACAGTCAAACCTTCAAACGGTTTCGTGTTTCCAGAATCGAAATCGAATAAATACAATGGAGATCGTGACTGTCTGAGGTACGTTTGTGGTAAACACACGCATGTAATCCGATGGCTTTGCGGGTTACCCAAAGCAAGCAATGGATTGGCGTCGATTGCCAAAATTCACTGACAATCAGGTGTGAGTAACTGGCCTAACGAACTAGCGCCATTACGAGTGCGTTTGATATGGTGAGCATGTCGATCGGCTCTGAGGTGAAAGAGGATCACGCCAGTGATGAGAGGGCGGTCTGAAAGCTTCCGTTAAAGGCACGCGTCAGTCATTGGGCGAAACCAAGCAATTATCGGCTGTTTTGCTGCTCTAACTGGCCAAAAACAGTGCCTTGGTAACAGAGCCCCTTCAGGAGAGTGATTGGAGTAAGTAAGGTGACTGGCCACCGAATCAGGATACAGGATACGGCTGATACCCCGTTTTTTTGGGCACACAAGAATGCAAAAAGCACGAAAAAGGGTGGAAAAAAACTGCTTGAATTGACCACCTACTTAGGAGCGACATTCTCCTCCGAGTCTGCAGCCGCGTTGGGCCTAAAACAATTAAAAGAAGGTGACGAATTGCAAAGAATTGTGGGGGAGGGCGACGTGAGCGCGGGACTTCGGGACACGTACGTGGAAAGTGGAACACCCAAACGCATAGCAACTCCACGAGCTGTTGCCTCCAACCACGACAGTAGCACGCTGTCTGGTTCCTTACCCTGCAAGATAAAAATAATATAATACAAGCACTACTGAAATCAAACATGATAGAATAAATCTGATGAGTGGATCAAAAGCACAGTCGAAAATGCCGCTCAAGAAACCCTCTGGATGGTGAATCAGTCATGACCTAGGGCAGTCCTGAGCCCTTCAAACCCTCTTGCGATCAATCAGCATGCACTGCAAACGGTACCAACGAAAAAAAAACGCGGAATTAAGTTAAATCGGGATTTCAACGAACCACCTTAGAAGGCAAAAACGCCAAACAACGATAAAAGCAGACTTACGACGGGCGGCTTCAGTGATTCACTGGCTACGAGCAATTCTGTGGGACAATCAGCCACGACCTTTATGAGGATTGGCCGCAACTGGCAGACGGACTTGCGCAGATGCGACTCTCGCGTGCCACGTGGATTCAGTGAGGCCTCCAGCTGATCGATGGCGAGTCGTGCGCCACGGTATCGATCGAGGGCCAGCGAGTCCCTCGTCGACTCGTCGTGTGAGTCGTCTGACGGTGATGGTGATGATGACGAGTGGGACAGGGGAAGGAGAACGGACCAGCGTGGGGGGTTGCGCTGCAGCTTCTCCACCTGAGTGACAGCCGGGTGATCCGCGTCCACCAATGGGTTGCTGCGACGAGCCTATTCAGAAATGTAGGTGGTGTGGTTATTACTGCAGCTAGAAGACGCCTAGCTGGGCGCCTGTGGACTTACTGGATGGACGAGATTTTTGAGCTGCTCCATGGGCAGGGCCTCCCTGTTGTGGGGCAAATCGATCGACAACTGGGAGATCAGTGAGTCACGATCGAGCAGTCGGGGGTTCTGCCACTGTTCGTCTTCGAGGGAGTTCGTCAACAGGGTGTCTATTGCCTGCTGAATGGTTCGCGCAGCCTGCGCCGGACTCGAACCGAGGGTTGCTGAGGCGCAGACTTGGCGTCCGCGGACGCGAAGCGGCTGCACAGAAGTGCCCTCGGTCTTCTTGGCAGGAGTCATTGAAGTGGCTCTGGTTGACGAAAGCTCTTGGAGAGTGTCCTCTATAAGGATGGCCGGCAGAGACATCACCAGCCAGTAGCGTCTACAAAGAAACTCCGGATCAGGCCAAACTAACAGATACACAAGCTTTGACAATAAAAAGGTGGTACTGGTGCTGAGGGTGAAGGTGGCGGCCTGCCTACCTATAAACCCGGTCCTGCCCCAGTGGGATCATCGAGAAGCGCCGAGCCGTCTTCAGGACGGATGCCCACAACTCCTGCTCCTCCACTTCCAATTCCTTGCTGAAGGTATTGATCGGTGGAGGTGGTGGTGGCGCTGATGTCTCGCCCTCCGCTTCCGAACCCGCCTTTTGACTGTCAGAATCAGTGGCAGACCTGGAACCATGTTAAAAAAGGTGCATATATTAGACTTCCTACTTTCACGTCGTTCAATCGGGCCTCGTACGTGTCAGCCTCTGTAGCCACTAACTACATTGAAAGGCTGTTGGTGTAGCCTCAAACCACAGCAGAATCAAGTGTGTCAACGAAAGATTAGACAATGAATGTTCAAGTACCCTTTGGCGTTGCTGTACTCGGCGGCGATCTTTGCCTTCGCCGCCTCGATGGTCTTTTTGCGGGGGCGGTTCATGTTGTTGCGGAGAATGGGCGGCGTGCCGGTGAGCCAGTTGTCGCAGCTTGAAATCAGCGTCGAAGGCGAGAATCCGTAGAGCATGTTGGCGATGTTGGCGTTGCCGCCGTAGAGCTTGTAGCGCTCCGCCTGAATGCCCCTCAACTGCAGCCGAAGCTGTCGAACCCGCTCGAAGCCCTCGTCCATCCGCTCGCGCAGCTGCGGCTGCATCAGCAGCTCGTCCATCAGCGTGGTGATCAGGGTCAAGCGCTCACGAAGCGACCACGAGTAGATCGGATCTTGGGGATAAAACAGAAGGTCATACAATTCACGTGCGAAAGGCCTACTATACGCCAAACACCAAGAAGGTAGCAGCACCACGTGCGACTACTTCGATTGAGTTTTAGTGGCTTTGAAACACGAGGAACAACTGCCGTGTTTGTAAAAGAAAAGGAACGATTGGTCAACTACCACAGCAATGCTGCCTCGCTAACGCCCCTAACAGCAACACGACCTATGGAATAAGCACTAGAAGAGTAGTGTAGAGCTCACCGACTCGAAGTTTGTCGACGAGGTCCTTGTGGCGTCGGATGAGCTCGACACAGGGGTCGTCAAGAGGGCGCGTGCCACCCCAGATGCCGCCTCGCCAGCCGCCCGCCTTGGCAGGCGCCGTGGTGATGTGCAGCCACAAGGCGTCGGCGAGGCCGGCGCGGTCGAGCGGAGGCAGCGAGGCGGCGCCGACGGCGCACGCGAGCGCACACGCGCGCACCGCCGCGGACCGATTGGGCGTCGGTGCGTCGGGAGCGCCGCCGCCCACCGACGCGGCAGCCGCAGCCTGGCCGCCGAGGGCGAGGGCCGCGCGCTCCGCACGCGACGTGAGCGCGGGGTGGGCGGGCGGCACGCCCACGAGCTCGGCCTGTCGGGTGGTGTCGGCGGCGCCGCGGAAGATCAGCGCGAGCGCGTGGTCGCAGAGCAGGGACTCGGTGAGCATCGTGGAGTACTCCTGGGAGGAGCCCAGGCCGGTGAGGATGCCGGCGTAGGCGAGCGGCAGACCGGCCTCGAGGGTGGCGATGGCCGAAACAGTCGAGGCAGCTGCGGCTTCTGCGGTGGGCGGCAGTTGGCGGCCGTTCGTTTCATTCTAAGTAGTACAATGGAAACTCAGATGGGCAAGGCTTCTCCGTACTTTTGAGTGTATGACTTAATTTTTACAGATTTTTCAGCAAATCTATTTGATAAGACAAAGCAGGGAGTAACGACGTTAATCTTGGAAATATCCATCGTTTGCTATGACCTTGCGCCATCTCTCAGGTAACGTACAAGTTCCGTCGCGAAACCAACTTGCAGGCTTCGAGGAAACAAAGTCACTGACGACGAATTTACGCACATCATCCGGCGTGCTGCTGCTGCTGCTGCATTGACCGTAAAAATGGTAGCCAGATATGGCGCCGAGTCTGATAAATATGTCGCGCGTGGGGGAACTTCCCATTCCAAATTCAAGAGGATCTTCGGAGTCGCAAGAGAAACGTGAGGTCGAGTGTTGTCATGTAGTAGCAGCAGCATGACTTGTCTGCATCCGCGTCCAGTAAAGGGCCTTTCCTCGTCACGTTCATTGCCCGGTTCGGCCAGTTGTCGGCTGTGGCGTTCAGTAGTCACTGTCTGACGCCTGGTTTCCAATTCGTAATAAGGCGCGCTCTTTATGCTCCACCAGACACACAGGAGAACCTTCTTCAAGTGGATGTCCCGTTCCCGCGTCGATGTACCGGCTTGGTCGGCATTTACCCATGACGTTTTGCGTTTGGAATTCTCGTTAACAATCTACTTTTCATCATCAATCATAATTCACCGCAAGAAGTCCGGTTTTGTCGCCGATGGTCAAGCAGTGAGAGGCATGCGTTGATACGTTGACTTGGGTTGTGTTCGATCAACACATTTGGGAGGACTCTGGTTCCACGTTTTTGAAAACTTTTTCCATTTAGTGGTGCAAACTATTAGAAGTGGCTGTTTGAGGGACTCATAACTGAGCTGCAAGCTCTTGCTGCGTTTGCGTTGCGTCTTCATCCAGTAGAACTTGCAACCGCACATTGTCAAACACTTGAGGCTGATGTCCGGTTACGCGCTTGGTTGCTAGGATCGAAATCACCACTTCTAAAACGTCTGTACCACTAATTGCACGTGTCATAAGACACATTGTCGGCACCAAGAACAGCACACAGTGATTGCTCCAAGTTTTAGACACACAGTGTCCTTTGTGGAATTCTCACAAAATTCAGTGCCATCGAATGTGCTGGCTATCAGCTGCCACCGTATACTCTGAGAGATTGCGTAGCTCACGTCAACTCGTCGTCCGGTGTTGTGAAACCTCGTGCCTGACCCTTTCAAAGTCACAATTTTACGTTCAATGAAATAACCTGCAAAAAATCAAGTCGTACACCTAATAAAACCAAGGTGACGTGAACGTCTGAAAGAGGCACAAACCTCAAGCCGACGAATCGCACCCAGAAGACCCAACAGAACATCCGCGAGAGGGCCCATGGGATCTGTGCTGAGCAGAACCTCTTCGAGCACGTCCCAAGTTAGCCGTGCACTCCTCTCCCCCGTCTCTTCATCGGACATCAGACACGGCTGTCCGATCGACGACGCTGACGGCGAGGCAGCGGCACCGTCTGTGGCCTGGGACGCGAAACCGGGGACAGGGAGACGCAGCAAGCCCCCGAAGACGTGGTAGAACTCATACACCTGCAGGCAAGTCCCGAAGTCTTCCAGAGGAATGAGACGAAGTCGGAGGGGTGTGAAGGAAGGCAGGGGAACCAGGTCTGAGAGGTCAAGGTCATCGCGTTTTCGCAGGAGGGACCACGTGCGCTCCAGCTCCATGCGTTCGATGCGCGTGAGACGCTGGGCGTCCCACGTGCTCTCCGACGACTGCTGATTGGCGGAGCCACCTGTGGAGGACGGCGTTGAAAAATGTACTTCCAACGTTAGGTCGATAGTGCTCGAGAAACCACAACTATAAATACTACTGTTACTAGCTTACCTACTGATTTCGTCAGACCACATGAATTCTCTGATGTCTTGCCCGATCTCGGCGCGCCTTTTAAGAGGCCTTTTGAATGCACAACTTTGTCACGGCCTAGAAGGTGAACAGATTTGAAGTGTAGAAGGCAATTAGCCAATTAGCAATAAATGCGCCACACCATCGTCGTCCTTACCAGACGCGGTGCGCGGTGGCGTGAGGTCGAACCACCGCAGCTCTGGGTCGGCGAAGATGTCAGCCCACCTGAGTGAGCCCTTCGGGTAGAGATTAAAATGCCTCAGAAGCGATTCCTGAAATACAAAAGCACAATTATTTAGTACTCGCTACTCAAAAGTAGATGAGTAGCCAGGTTATTTCAAACCGCCGTACACGAGGGACGAAAATCTGGCTTTCCAGTTGACCGGTTTGACGGATAAAGAATTTGATGCGGTCGCGGTTAATGTAATTCCTCGCGGGCCTTTGCAGGGCCGAGGAGGGAAGAATGAGGGTTGAACCAGTGGATTCGTCAGTGGGGCTGGCGGAACGGACGACGTATTTTATCGACTTGGGATCCGGCATGCCTGAGACCTCGGAAACGCTGGAGCCTTCACTTTCCTACGGAAGGGAAAAAACCGCGCTCGTGGTGGAGAGCCGAGGGTACAGACAGCAAACTCTTTGACAAACTCACCGTGTCTTCGGAATTGTTCTTCGATTGACCGGGCTGTGGAGGCAGGATAACTCGTTCGACCACAACAAAGTGCTCCAGGCTACAATGAATTGCGGTTAAATAGAACGACCAGGGTAGCAGTCACTTGATAATTTTTCATTAGGATTATCACCCAATAGACGATAAAGAGGCTTTATCCACCGAGCCACGAAGTTGGCAGATCAAGAAACACAATCGGAAGAGCAAATTATTGCCCTGAAGGGATTTTGCTAAGCAAGATTGGGGTGGCATTGGCGTCAATACTGATCCACCAGATTGTAGCAAACTCGTCGCGTTTTTTGCGTCGTGGGCGAGTCTTTTTCTTATTGCGAACCATCACAAACTCGTTTAAAGTTGCCATAGCAACGGGACCAGCACCTTCACAGAAGTGAAGGCGATTGAAAATGCAGGAAATGCTGCCAGCGATGGCGCACGATGTTCCAGTGGCGCCCAACTTAACCACAAAATTTCGGGTATCGCAGTCATGATGGTGACTCGGTGCTTAAATACCATGCAAACGAGTCTTGATCAAAGTTAGTCAGCTGCCAATGAGATGTTACTTAATCGCACACGCTTCCAAGGTAAAGTGCAAATTGTTGCAAACTTGCAAGCAGCCCAACTCATAGTTCGGAAACCAAACTAGACAGGAAGAGCAGGTTCAAGGTTAATGAAGAGCTAAAAAAACGTACAAGACGGATGCTTCGCGATAGAATTTACCCAAAAATCAACCACCAGAACTCGACTTCAGACTGACGAGCGGGGGCCCGAACCGTTATTGCACGAAAAAGGTGTCAAATGCTGGAATTCGGTGTGAAATGGGTCACGTTGACAGTGAATTAAGGGAAACACCACTGACACGTACCTGTTATCCGGTCTTTTGACATTAAGTTTTTCACCAACGAAAAATCGCGACACACTGAATGACACCAGCAAGTCGACAAGCTCGGAGAGACGTCGTCGCCGGGAGTGAAGCATGATGTGCAGGAGGCCGCGAGAAAGACCAACTCCGAAGGTGGCCAACTGGTTCTCGTCGGCTTGCTCGCAGGCCTGGGCTTCGGTGTACGTGAGCTGACGCTTTCCGCAGAAACTGCAGCTCCATGTCAGGCTGTTGAGAAGGATTGTCCGTTCAAAAAATTCACTGTAAGGATCAAAATATTTGAGAAATTACCAGAACCAACGACTTTGAACGCATGCCCAAAAGCCAAAGACGGGCATTTTGTCCAGTAAGACTTGTACCTGCCTATTTAGTGAATGAACCGTCATTGTTTTCACGTAGATAAACTCTGTAAGATTTCTGTTTAAATTTTGGTTGCAGCAGCAAAATGCGAGCTTCCTCATAAGTAAAGTGTCACATAAATGCCTTAGACGTTCTAACTAATGCAGCATCTCACGCTTCACATGTAATCCTGTGGTCGGCTACAAAATGCATAATAATGCCGACCAGTGGCATTATAGTGCAACAGAAAACATGGCAATGTAGCATCAAACCGTGATCCTTTGGTTGTGCATGAAAACTACGTGGACTAGACGTAGTTACATCTAGAACGGAAAAGGTCGTTCAGAGATAACCAAACTATTTGCGACAAAACGAAAGACCTCTTGAAGCAGCTAAATAATAGAAAGTATCACATGGAGTTTGACAGAGGTCAGTAAACTAGCTTTTTTCAAGTCGACAGATCAGCCTAGCTGTGGTAGAACCATGAGTTTATATGCATTATAAAAATCGCACGATTTAAGATGAGACTGTACTTACTCATAGTCTCGAAAAACCTCGTAAGTAATCGGTGAAAAGAAAACTTCTTCATTGGGATCAAGGTTGGGTGGGGGCTGTTGTTTCACAAATTGTTCGCCGTTGAGCAATGGCATTCTAAAGGTGAAATTTATATGCTGATTTTTATAAATGGTTTCAATAGCACAAAAAATCAGGTTTGTAAGAGAACAGCTTCAAGAAACGCCTGAATCGTCATAAGTAAAAACAAACATTTTAAAAGTAGGACGTCTATACAAGACGTATTATGTAAAGCCAATTTTTTAAAGAACATAACTGAAGCGAAAACAATAATTAACGCAATAATAGGCAGTAACAGCATAAAATATATGTAGTTCAGATGATACCTAGTGCTAATTTGCAAGAGCCAAAATCATTTGGACATTCACATATTTATCACTTTAGTAAAGACAAAAGCTAATGAGCCGATACACTGAGAGTCTTCTGTGTGCAGATATGTGCAGTTCGAGGGATATAACTTTAAACCTGCGTGGATATTTAAGGCAAAAGTAAGACAACATTACTCCGAAAAGATGCCAGGCATTTATGTTTAAAACAAACAAATAAACGCGTAGAGAAAATTGTGCAGTTGGAACACGTCTATACTTAAAAAACCATGTTGAGCGGGACTACCTCCACTAGGGAACATTGAAAAGGAATAGCGGAAATATCAAGTAAAATAAGGTCTCGTTTGGAATAACTTAAAGGCATTCAAATAACATCCCGAATGTTAGTGCATGCGAAAAGCGTACTTTACCTGATCGCAGACAACTGCAGCAATCTGAAAGTATGTTTACTGCAATAACTAAGAACACACACACTGAACAGTTTCTACCCCCAGAAAAGTATTTGCTCCTTACTACAAACGACCTTTTATGTGATTCACTAAAACAAGGCCTCGTAAAAATTCGGTTTTCTGTTTCTTCAAATTTACTGTCTCGTTTAATCTCAATCCTTATGTGCAGATACATATAGTTCTGTTCTTATCTCGAGAGCTGTTTGCCTTATTTTTTGTAGGTCTATGTAGAAGTTATTTTGATATAAGTAGAATTATTTATAGGATAGAAGTTAAAGCGGGATGATTAAAAATTTAATACGCTAGCATGGCGTAATGGATAACTACTTCTAACCTGAATGGCTAGGTGTGATCTTATCTTAATAAAACGACCAGAAAAAAATATTTATAAACAACGAATTCGACTTTAAATGTCATTGAGATGATACAACCTAATTTACTCCTCGAGGTACCTTTTAAGTGAAATTATCAACAAAGATAGTTATTTCGTTCACCGTTCTAATCCAAATAGATTTATTCTATTGATCTTCCCAGTACCGACGTGGGTTAATATAAAATCTACAATTAATTAATTCATTAGTCATATAAACAGGATATCTAAAGGCAGTTGGGACATCAATCTGTAACTAGAGCCATTTCCTAACGAATCCTTGGGCTACGCCTATCAATAAAAGGCACATTTTTGGATAATTTGCTTGTTTAAACATAGTCACGAACAAATTTTAGTGAAACTGGTACATCAAAGTAGAAAACAATTTTGACGGACGATTACAGCCAAATAGATTCTGTTAGGCTTCCAAGCATGGTATCGAAAACATGGCCAAGTACTTCGTGGTTTTCACCTGCATTACAGTCAAAATTACTATTGTATGACAAATAGATAAGTGCAAAGTCACTGTCATACAAAGTTTACTCTTAACTCCTTGATTCAACATACGTAAATTACTATTTCCTCAAAAGTTATACAAAGCTCTGAGATCGGAGAAGGAGTAAACCGCGTTGTAGTCTGTTTTTTCAGTAGGAATTGAAATGTAGTCTTAAATGGGTTTTACCAATAAATTGACTTGGACAGTCATGAACCACGAAAAGGATTCATTTTTCTACCATCACATAGGTATTTAACAAACTGAGATTTATCTAATTCATAAAAAAATCTAAAGCCTATTTATAAAGCATGTTCTTTCTAAATTGGCCAGCCGTCAACTTTAGCATCATCCAACTTTATAATTTGAATTAATTTGCTTACACAATTCAAAAAAACTAACGGCTATTATTGTCAAAAGTATCTATGACCTGGTGTGCATTTTTGTCCAGCATTATTCAAGAAACGTGGTGATTCTTTGCCAAGCTCACGTATCGTATTTGTTCACCACTGTCTCTACCACGTTATAAACCTGACTTGAAACAAACAAAGTTTTACATGTCTGTAATATTCTATTAATTCTTCATACATTCAAATCTCCATTTTCCCATGATCATTAATCCTCGCTAACCGTCAAATTGCAATACAAGCTGATTTAGAACTTTCGACAGAGTGCACGTTTTACAAAAAAATACGAGTAACAGAATATGCCCAAAATAAATACATGGATCATAAACGTTCGCCGCCTCTCCAGTGAGCAAATTATATGCAGCCCTCAGTGGGAATCAGTGCTGGAATCACGACGAAATCAAGAACAACATGGCATGTGTTGCACTCAACCTGGCCAAATAGGAATACGTCAGTCATAATTGGGAAAAGGGTCAAGAAAGTCAGGAACCGTGGTAGGCTTAGGCATTAATATAAACGAATCCTGGTAAACTAAAGAAGTCACAGATTAACACTGCTTTTCTTTGCTTGAATAGGTAAGAGAGAGGTTATAAACAGAGCAGCTGTGGTATGAGATCCTTGTTTAGGCCATATCTGCGGATTTATTTTCCAAACAGGTCTTCAAAATCGCATCCCGTTTTTTAAGTCATCTTCAAAACTGACTAAGACGATGGTTAGAGAGGTTTCGGTTGCTATTACGAGATCTGTGAATTTCTTTATCTGAAGAAAATAATTTGGCATCTTCGCAATTCGATCAAGACCCTGGTTACTTCTAATTGATTTCGTCTGTGATTTGGTTTGTTTTTTTTAAACTTGGAGCAAAAAAATGTCGCCTCCTTTGCTGGTTTACAAATGTCCTTCTTCACCGATTGACTTGTCAGTAATTGGTAACATTGGTTCAAAATTAGGGCATTGTGCATATTATGAACAATTAACTTAGTTAGCGAATCAATTTATGTGTTAAAGACACCCACTTTTCTGGTCTCATTGAAAGACTGCACTAAGTATGTAACAAATTTGGATTTATTTAGCACCTATTTTACTGAAACTGAAGTAGGCTACACGACTTTAAGCATGCCCGTTTATAAACTAAATCCTGGTCATACGAAAGCGAAATCTTATTCATTTTCCCCTCACGCTCATTGATCGATATTAATGTAGACGAACCATTGCTTCCCCATGACAACCAACATGTGGAAAAAACGACAATTACTTAGAATGTGACAAAATTCGCAATAAGAATTGGGTTTTCGCAAAAGTTTCTTAAACTTCCGGTAACTGACAAATTTCAATACCATTATTGATACCAGAATGCTGTAAGTGATTTTTAAATGTCCTATGTTGTACAAGAAAACAAAATCTTATAATTATGGCCTTCAATAGATCAGGGTTAAATCAGGAGATCGACCAAAATTACGTTGCTCCAATGTAGATAAAAGATCCTCTAGATCATATCTTGCCAAAAGAATGATTTTTGCTAGGCAATCAGAATACAACAAGGTCTCAATTCTCCTCAAAAACTATTGTCATAATTGATGAATTCAAGCGATTTAATAACCATTACTAAATTAACCTATACTACCTCCTACGTAGCAACAAAGTACCGTTTTGACTAGTAAATGCAAAGGCATTTACCTACGTATTGCGAGATAACAAAATCCCCTCAAAAGAATGAAGCAACCATCCCTCAATATGTTAAGAATTGTATTGGCAACTTACCACGTGGGCTACACGTTACCGTTGAAATAGCCAGTCGTGGTAGTGTATAAATCGCAAGCCCGAATGGCGCAACCGGATCCGAAGGATAGTATACATGCACTTCTACAAGGCATTGAAGCGTAAATCTTGCACATTTGTGTATTTTTTTAGGTATAATCCACAGCACCTGCCTGAACTTGAAAAACATCTAGCATGGCAAATTAAAGCTAACGAATATGATTTTGAGGCCAATATTGTAATGCTTCGTCTGT